GACCACAAAGATACAGTACAGGGAAATAATTCATGAAATTTATAAATCTTACCTAGATGAATGCGGAGGCTCGTCAGAATGACCAAAAAGGTCAGCGCTCCTTCCAGCATTGGCCTTTCTTGCTCAGATTCTAACACAGCATTCTGGTGCTGAGAAGCCATCGTCAAGAGGTCAACTACTTTAAATCTGCAAGAGAAAGGCACGTGCAACATTTATTTGAGTTCGAAAAATCAATCTGCAGCATGAAAATTTGACAGAATTGAGTCTACCTCTCAAATACACTTGAAATAAAGTAGTCAGGATCTAGTCTTGATGCGCAAACCTACAAAACCAAACAAGAAAAGTGTAAAAATAATAATAAAATGGGCACAACAAAAATAATGATATATGTGAATGATAGTAAAAGTGAATGCTGTGTAAATTTGAGGGTTTCTAACCTGGAGCAGATAGATGTCTGGATCAATCATGGAGTTGCAGAAGTGTGATTGCACGTAAGTCATGGCTTGTCCTTTTATCTGGAGMCCGTTCCTGACCCACATATTGCTGTGGATCTCTGACAGATATGCCTGCAGCCAAACAGAAAATATTTCTGTCAGCCAGACATGCATGAGATGTCATACATGTAAAAGATATCTTTGGCATCCTATCCCTTCATGTATACCTGGATTTGGAGAGGATGGACCATGATCTTCATCAGCATCTCTTGGTCAGGTAGGAGGCTATCCAAATCCAAGCCTTGGCATTTTACAGCCTGTAGATTTTCAACCAAATATTTCACTTTTAGAAACACAAAACAAAACACTTCCTACTGAACGATGTGAATGTCCGACATACCCTGCTGAGGAACATGGCATAATAGCGATGGAGTGGCAGGTGAAACGTCACTTGATTTTGAGCAGGCTAAAAGGAGAAATACAGCGAATCAAAAACAGGGAAGTTCAAAAATTATCTGTAAACACGGACACTCACCAAGTCAATTTACCTCATCAATGAAGCCAATGGCATCAAACCAAATCTGCAGGGCCTCCAAACAGTAGCGAACTACTGTTTTTGTATATTCCTGTGTTTCCTGTTCACATAAAAWTTAACAGTTAATATAAGATGCACACAAAATCAGTTAAATAGGAAAGACTCTCAGTAAAGATGACGTACTTTGACTTTGCAGTGTGTTAAGAGACCCCACATGGGTTGTGCACAGGCTTCAAGCTCTGCTGCAAATGCTGCATAGTATGTCTGAGATTCAAACTCCACGTGTTCAATCAACTCCCGCTTATTCAGGTTCATACCTTTGAAAGAAAAAAAATATATATAATAAATGCATGTTTGAAATGTTACCTCAATGTCACTTGACATGTGACTTCTAAATCTTAGAGTTTAAGTCAGGGGTGGGCAATCCTGGTCCTCGAGGGTCGCAGCCCTGCATGTTTTACTT